AGGCACCTCATCGTCACTACAGATAGTCAGGCACCTAATCGCCAGTATACATAGTCAGGCACGTCATCGCCAGTACACATAGCCAGGCACCTCATCGCCAGTACAAATAGTCAGGCACCTTATCGCCAGTACAGATAGTCAGGCACCTAATCGTCAGTACACATAGTCAGGAACCTCATCGCCAGTACACATAGTCAGGCACCCAATCGCCAGTACACATAGTCAGGCACCTGATTGACAGTACAGAGAGTCAGGCACGTAATCGCTAGTACACATAGTCAGGCACCTAATCTTGAGGTACACATAGCCAGGCACCTAATCGCCAGTACACATAGTCAGGCACCTAATCGCCAGTACACATAGTCAGGCACTTAATCGCCAGTACACATAGTCAGGCACCTAATCGCCAGTACACATAGTCAGGCACCTAATCGCCAGTACACATAGTCAGGCACCTAATCGCCAGTACACATAGTCAGGCACCTAATCGCCAGTACACATAGTCAGGCACCTAATCGCCAGTACAGATAGCCAGGCACCTAATCGCCAGTACACATAGTCAGGCACCTAATCGCCAGTACACATAGTCAGGCACCTAATCGCCAGTACACATAGTCAGGCACCTAATCGCCAGTACACACAGTCAGGCACCTAATCGCCAGTACAAATAGTCAGGATAATCAGACACCTCATCGCCAGTACATATAGTCAGGCACCTAATCGCCAGTACACATAGTCAGGCACCTAATCGCCAGTACACATAGTCAGGCACCTAATCGCCAGTACACATAGTCAGGCATCTAATCGCCAGTACACATAGCCAGGCACCTAATCCCCAGTACACATAGTCAGGCACCTAATCGCTAGTACACATAGTCAGGCACCTAATCGCCAGTACACATAGTCAGGCACCTAATCGCCAGTACACATAGTCAGGCACCTAATCGCCAGTACACATAGTCAGGCACCTAATCGCCAGTACACATAGTCAGGCACCTAATCGCCAGTACACATAGTCAGGCACCTAATCGCCAGTACAGATAGTCAGGCACCTAATCGCCAGTACACATAGTCAGGCACCTAATCGCCAGTACACATAGTCAGGCACCTAATCGCCAGTACACATAGTCAGGCACCTAATCGCCAGTACACATAGTCAGGCACCTAATCGCCAGTACACATAGTCAGGCACCTAATCGCCAGTACACATAGTCAGGCACCTAATCGCCAGTACACATAGTCAGGCACCTAATCGCCAGTACACATAGTCAGGCATCTAATCGCCAGTACACATAGTCAGCCACCTAATCGTCAGTACACATAGTTAGGCACCTCATCGCCAGTACACATAGCCAGGCACCTAATCGCCAGTACACATAGTCAGGCACCTAATCGCAAGTACACATAGTCAGGCACCTAATCGCCAGTACAAATAGTCGGGATAATCAGGCACCTAATCAGGTCAGGCACCTAATCGCCAGTACACATAGTCAGGCACCTAATCGCCAGTACACATAGTCAGGCACCTAATCGCCAGTACACATAGTCAGGCACCTAATCGCCAGTACACATAGTCAGGCACCTAATCGCCAGTACACATAGTCAGGCACCTAATCGCCAGTACACATAGTCAGGCACCTAATCGCCAGTACACATAGTCAGGCACCTAATCGCCAGTACACATAGTCAGGCACCTAATCGCCAGTACACATAGTCAGGCACCTAATCGCCAGTACACATAGTCAGGCACCTAATCGCCAGTACACATAGTCAGGCACCTAATCGCCAGTACACATAGTCAGGCACCTAATCGCCAGTACACATAGTCAGGCACCTAATCGCCAGTACACATAGTCAGGCACCTAATCGCCAGTACACATAGTCAGGCACCTAATCGCCAGTACACATAGTCAGGCACCTAATCGTCAGTACACATAGTCAGGCACCTAATCGCCAGTACACATAGTCAGGCACCTAATCGCCAGTACACATAGTCAGGCACCTAATCGCCAGTACAAATAGTCAGGCACCTAATCGCCAGTACACATAGTCAGGCACCTAATCGCCAGTACACATAGTCAGGCACCTAATCGCCAGTACACATAGTCAGGCACCTAATCGCCAGTACACATAGTCAGGCACCTAATCGCCAGTACAGATAGTCAGGCACCTAATCGCCAGTACACATAGTCAGGCACCTAATCGCCAGTACACATAGCCAGGCACCTAATCGCCAGTACACATAGTCAGGCACCTATTGGCCAGTACACATAGTCAGGCACCTAATCGCCAGTACACATAGTCAGGCACCTAATCGCCAGTACACATAGTCAGGCACCTAATCGCCAGTACACATAGTCAGGCACCTAATCGCCAGTACACATAGTCAGGCACCTAATCGCCAGTACACATAGTCAGGCACCTAATCGCCAGTACACATAGTCAGGCACCTAATCGCCAGTACACATAGTCAGGCACCTAATCGCCAGTACACATAGTCAGGCACCTAATCGCCAGTACACATAGTCAGGCACCTAATCGCCAGTACACATAGTCAGGCACCTAATCGCCAGTACAAATAGTCAGGATAATCAGACACCTCATCGCCAGTACATATAGTCAGGCACCTAATCGCCAGTACACATAGTCAGGCACCTAATCGCCAGTACACATAGTCAGGCACCTAATCGCCAGTACACATAGTCAGGCACCTAATCGCCAGTACACATATAGCCAGGCACCTAATCGCCAGTACACATAGTCAGGCACCTAATCGCCAGTACACATAGTCAGGCACCTAATCGCCAGTACACATAGTCAGGCACCTAATCGCCAGTACACATAGTCAGGCACCTAATCGCCAGTACACATAGTCAGGCACCTAATCGCCAGTACACATAGTCAGGCACCTAATCGCCAGTACACATAGTCAGGCACCTAATCGCCAGTACACATAGTCAGGCACCTAATCGCCAGTACACATAGTCAGGCACCTAATCGCCAGTACACATAGTCAGGCACCTAATCGCCAGTACACATAGTCAGGCACCTAATCGCCAGTACACATAGTCAGGCACCTAATCGCCAGTACACATAGTCAGGCACCTAATCGCCAGTACACATAGTCAGGCACCTAATCGCCAGTACACATAGTCAGGCACCTAATCGCCAGTACACATAGTCAGGCACCTAATCGCCAGTACACATAGTCAGGCACCTAATCGCCAGTACACATAGTCAGGCACCTAATCGCCAGTACACATAGTCAGGCACCTAATCGCCAGTACACATAGTCAGGCACCTAATCGCCAGTACACATAGTCAGGCACCTAATCGCCAGTACACATAGTCAGGCACCTAATCGCCAGTACACATAGTCAGGCACCTAATCGCCAGTACACATAGTCAGGCACCTAATCGCCAGTACACATAGTCAGGCACCTAATCGCCAGGCACATCGCCAGTACACATAGTCAGGCACCTAATCGCCAGTACACATAGTCAGGCACCTAATCGCCAGTACACATAGTCAGGCACCTAATCGCCAGTACACATAGTCAGGCACCTAATCGCCAGTACACATAGTCAGGCACCTAATCGCCAGTACACATAGTCAGGCACCTAATCGCCAGTACACATAGTCAGGCACCTAATCGCCAGTACACATAGTCAGGCACCTAATCGCCAGTACACATAGTCAGGCACCTAATCGCCAGTACACATAGTCAGGCACCTAATCGCCAGTACACATAGTCAGGCACCTAATCGCCAGTAGTCAGGATAGTCAGGCACCTAATCGCCAGTACACATAGTCAGGCACCTAATCGCCAGTACACATAGTCAGGCACCTAATCGCCAGTACACATAGTCAGGCATCTATTGGCCAGTACACATAGCCAGGCACCTAATCGCCAGTACACATAGTCAGGCACCTAATCGCCAGTACACATAGTCAGGCACCTAATCGCCAGTACACATAGTCAGGCACCTAATCGCCAGTACACATAGTCAGGCACCTAATCGCCAGTACACATAGTCAGGCACCTAGTCGCCAGTACACATAGTCAGGCACCTAATCGCCAGTACACATAGTCAGGCACCTAATCGCCAGTACAGATAGTCAGGCACCTAGTCGCCAGTACACATAGTCAGGCACCTAATCGCCAGTACACATAGTCAGGCACCTAATCGCCAGTACACATAGTCAGGCACCTAATCGCCAGTACACATAGTCAGGCACCTAATCGCCAGTACACATAGTCAGGCACCTAATCGCCAGTACACATAGTCAGGCACCTAATCGCCAGTACACATAGTCAGGCACCTAATCGCCAGTACACATAGTCAGGCATCTATTGGCCAGTACACATAGTCAGCCACCTAATCGTCAGTACACATAGTTAGGCACCTCATCGCCAGTACACATAGCCAGGCACCTAATCGCCAGTACACATAGTCAGGCACCTAATCGCCAGTACACATAGTCAGGCATCTAATCGCCTGTACACATAGTCAGGCACCTAATCGCCAGTACACATAGTCAGGCACCTAATCGCCAGTACACATAGCCAGGCACCTAATCGCCAGTACACATAGTCACCCCTCTAACCCACTCACCTATCGCTGCTTCCTCAAGATTGAAAGTCGTACAATTGGTACCCTAGGCCTTGGAACATGTGCACCCCTCTGATAAGTGAAAATTATCACGACTCCAACGACCGAAAGCTATCAATACACTCTGTGTACCCTTCTGTCCACTCAACTCAACAAAAGTACTAGAATCTGTACTTTACTACAACAAGTGTTACAATATATTTGACAATACACCGAGCAGTGTTGTTCTTGCTAGGTACATGGCACTGCATATCCATCTCATGTAGTTATCCGCCATGTCGGTTGCAATGACGCCACGTGTACGCACACTACTGGTGTAGCGTGTGGCTCCCCGAGCTGGCATTGTACCAAACACTTGAGTCGGGCTATATTAAAGCCGTTTACCCGGCGGCGAGGCAGTCGTCTACCAAGCTGCGTGCTGTACAGTTGGATTGAACAATGGAGCTATCAACACTGGTATTCCTCATTCTTGTGCTGACTGCTGTCAGTGACGTGCAGGCTGTTCGCAAGCGTGGGACCTTGTCTGACCGGGTGAGAGTGATGGAAATGGAAATCAACGCTTGGAAAGGTACAGTTGGTAATCTTGTGGGTAAAATGTTTGACCGCTTTAAAGACTTGGAGTCGTCACTAAAAGAAGAACTGACCAGAACTTTCGTCCCTGCCCTAATAAAGCCCCTCGTCAAACAAGCCATTACCGACATCATGAATGAAGATTACATCGGGAACATGATCAGCGGGCATGTTCTCGAGGAGGTTCAAAGTTTGAAAACAAAAGTACAAAACACAAAGATAGAAATCAAGGCACTGGCACAAAGGTTGAGAAGTGTTGAACAGGAAAGAGATACATACAGGAAAAGTCTTGGAAAACTACGTGGAAGGTTGACCGAAGACATCCGTGTATTACAGCAGCAAGTGAACCAGACAGTTGCTGATCTGCGTGATGCCAGAACCACCACGTATCCTGGAACTACAGCAGGTGAGAGATTTAGTAAAGATTAGTCGCTTAATTAACGTTCCCTCTTGACATTCCAACCGGAAGATATGAGAATATTAACATGATTATTTCGTTTGAATTTAGCCAATGTTTTTTACAGTCATACTGCATACGTACTAAGTTTTGTCTTCTGCTTTGAAACAATATGTTGGAGGTAAACTTTCTGTATTTTTAGTGGAGACCTTTCATTTCCGAATATGACAGTGTTAAACTACTCTTATTTCAAATGCTTCTTGACCAATAAAATGTGTGAACACACAGGTTGTCATTACAGGACATGTCAACACAGGATTAACATAACATGTCAACATTGGGTTATTTGCTCAAGCACATTGTTTATTGGTCATGTAAGATAGTGTTGATTGGACATATATTTTATTGGGTGTGTGTACATATAGGTTATTGTGTATCTCAGCGGAGACTGAATTGGGCATCTGAACAAAAGGTTAACAGGACATGCCAATGGTGCATGACCTGCATAGAGTTTATTGGTTATGTCAAAAGGGGACAACGTAGGGCTTGGAAGGGCATTTAATACATAACACTACCACAATACACGACACGTGATCTGCTGACTGATTATTATATTACATTCTAAGATGCCTAGCGGTTAGAACAATCAGAAAACAAATACATTATCAGACAATGAAGGTAAAGTTTTTTGATGACGTAACAATTGAATGACGTTATCCCGTCACTGCGCCATTCTAGTGTGCCCCCTCGTAATCGAACCTTTTTACATTACATCACAATGTAAGCGACGTCAAGATGCATGTCAGTTGTCATCGCCTCGTACGGCCTCCTACAGTAAAGTACACCGTGTCATCCCCTTTCTTGGTTTGCACTTGCTTCACGCAGCTAACATCACTGGTGGAAACATTACGTTTATGTTTTACGACTCACAAGTTTTCAGCGACACGGAAACGTTCGCAATGTTTACATTCCCTCAATGCCATCGTGGAATGTCGCTTGACTACTCAGCTTCATCTGGATGTACAGATCGAAACTTGCGTTGGTAGTAGAAATGCGACGTTCATATTGCCCAATGTGGTTTACGTTAATGACAGATGTAATTAAAATAATTCAGAGAAGATATTTATTCCGAACGTAAACCGTCATCAAACTGTTATCATTTGGGTTTTTTTTCTGGTAACGTTCGTCTTAACGTAGGGGGCAGACACATCAATAGAACAGCGCGCCAGTTAGCCCTGTGCGGGGATTCTTTATTTAGGTCACCGACACCGTAGTTTGTTTTCTGCCTTAAATCAATCGTAATTATCCTTAGAAAGTATTAAATTTAGCATCTTAGAAAAGAAATTCAGTTTGCTCTACGAACTGTATTTCTTAATTACTACACTATCTTAGTTACATTATCAAAAAAAATGATGTCATATAAATTACAATTCCATCGTATTACTAACCTCACAAATGATCAGAAATATATTGAATCTGAGATAAGGTTACATATTTTGAGGTAAAATGTCATTAAATCTCAATGTATTTGGTGGTTGCATGAAAGCGAGAGTAGATAATCACTCTCGATACATGACAAGTACTTGTAACAGTCGCCCTCCATCTCTCGAATCCACAAATCTTGTGAACGCACCCAGGGTCTCGGTGGCTTGGAGAAGGGTTGGCAAGGGTGGGGCTGGTTCGTCACTATCAATTTCACTGTCGATACATGACAAGTTCTTGTAACAGTCGCCCTCCATCTCTCGATTCCACAAATCTTGTGAACGCACCCAGGGTCTCGGTGGCTTGGAGAAGGGTCTGCAAGGGTGGGGCTGGTTCGTCACTATCAATGTCACTGTCGATACATGACAAGTGCTTGTAACAGTCGCCCTCCATCTCTCGATTCCACAAATCTTGTGAACGCACCCAGGGTCTCGGTGGCTTGGAGAAGGGTTGGCAAGGGTGGGGCTGGTTCGTCACTGTCATTGACTCCTAATCCGTATTTCTCAGTCCGCAATTTAGAAACAACTCAACAATCACATGCTAGTCATGTGATTGCACAATCCCCTCATTGCTTCTCGGTATGTTTTGATTGGAAACTATAATCCGTTATCAGCAGTGTTTAGTCGTAACAGTGAGTACTTCCTAATTAATTCCTTCTTAATTAAACCTAATTAATCAAGTGACACCTTCAACTCAAATTGCCCTAATTAGTTTACACTACCGCATCTCTGTGATTGATGCCGCACCGTGTGTAAACATGTAGAAACAACCTCAGTTCAGAGGGATACTTGCCCATGAAAGGTAGGTGAATACCGAATTTTTTATTAATATCGAGTTAAAAGGGTAATTTTTCTTGTTGGGACCATGAAATTATATCAAGATGTCCGAAATATCGAGACATCCGTATCAAGTTAAAAGAGCTTGAATGATAAAATATGAAGGATTTTGCAGGGACCGAGATGTTATATCGACACATCCGAGATATCGGGTTATCAGTGTTCGACACAAAGGTGCTCGACTGTATAAACAATTCATTCACATATTTTAACTACAACATATCATAATGTTATAATGCTCACACCAGCTGAATATCCAGGAAAACCAGCCAACCTGACACACACACGCAATTGGTTGCAATCTCCCAACTTTCAAATCAGTCCTTATATAGCCCCAAACTATAATACCCGACTTGATTGACCCCCAACTTTCCAGATACATACAATGGTCTCCCATATTCCCATATGGTATTCTGAATAGGCTTATGACTTATGGACACTGTGTCTGAACATAAATATCTCGGTATCTATTTCACACCTAGACTGAGTTGGGGAATACCTGTCTACACTTAGCACAACAGGCTCAGAAAAACACAGTTTGTCTTTCATTATAAGCTCAATGTAAGTACTTTCACAGAATGATCGCAGCTATTTACATCTAAGCATGTGACGTCTAATGATATCCACATATGACGTGTTTTCAAAGGGGGCATATATATTTTTGTAAACAAATATTGGGAGTTTTGTGATACAAACAATCGGAGAATTACTACAATTTAAGGAGGCGGTAACAGTTCCTCCCTTTCCCCCATCCCGAATAATATTTATTAATTAATATATACTAAAATTATTAACAAAACCTAACACAACAATTACTTTAGAAATCACAAAAATGACTAAAAGTCCATAACTTAGTTAGGTTTAGGGTTGGGGGAACGGAAGGAACTCTTTCCAGGGAAGCATCCGATATGCTTATAATACAATTGTCGTCCATGTCATGCCACAGGTAACACGAAATGTGTTGTATGGGACGATTAGAAATATTTCCATATAGAGTTGTTGATAAGTACAAGCAGTCGAGCGCCAAACGTTGCCATGCTCCTAACCTGACACGTCACAATGACGTCATAGCTGGCAGCTTTGCGGTCGTGGTGTCGCCAGTCAAGGCATTTCATAGCTAGCAGTGAGATGTGTCGCTCGTGTTAGGACGTTATTGGTGGGTAAGTTCTCAGTTTCTACTTTTTTAACTGATTTAGGAAATTTGATGAAATAGTGTAAATGTACATTGTACGTCTACTGTAAAGCTGTATGAATGTTGTAGGAACCAAGTGCTTGCTTCACACAATGTTTACACCAGACCTGTGTTTAGCTTGTCACCTGCGGGGGACGATGGAAGGTCATGGTAAACATAACAACGCCTGATAGACTTGTTATATTTGATCAAATGATGTGCTCTTTCTTAGCGCTATGCTTTGACCTGATTGCATTTACCTCTGTCACGGAAGACTTTATGAGAATGTTTGAAATCTTTCCAGTCAAATATTTAATTTACACTGTAATTTCATTTCTTTTTATTCTGCGTCAATGAATAGTTGCATTGCATTGAAATACACCCCGCTATATAGCACACGGTGAAACGTATCAGTTAAAATCGGTTTACAATGAAGACCTGTAGAGTTGCCTTTTTTAACAATGAAACCTTAAATGTGGAACACATGCATTTCTGCAACATTTTTTTTAAAAAGCAATAAATTATGGAAGGGCAAGTACGCTTTATTCTCGTTATTTCTAATATTGAAACAGACGGAGAATGTCACTCCGACAGCGACAAGTCTATCTTGACCACCACACACTTTCACGTGTTTGTACCCTTGTTGTTTATCAAAGCACATTGCTTCCATCGACAAGTACGGCTGTGTCAGCTGCAGTTTCCGCCTCAGGTAGTAGTTGTGTGAGAATTGCACTGCCGCCATCGTTCGGTATGCTGACATTTTCTGCGCGCTTGACAAAGTTTGCCTGACACTTTGTGACTAAATTAAAACTGTGTTGCACAAACAGGAAGTCAAAAGGCGAAACCGCATTATTAGTGGTTCGTGTCGTTTGCTGTTGTTTCACTATGTAGTAACTATTTCAAGCATTTTGTATCAATATGTGATGCTTAAATTGTATTTATGAATATTTCTTTCGTCAGATATCTGTGATTTTTTGTCGACAACGTTTCAAATTTTGTTTAGTTTCAAATTTGTGCCCAATGTGATGAGAGAGTGTACCCGCCATTGAACACTAAACTTTAAATCTGCTTCACATTAGAATTTATGGAATTGCCTAAAATACCATGTACAAAAATAAACAACTAGGGTGGGGACATCAAGGAAAGGCATTTTTGAAATTCCAGTTACGGTTAATGAATTCAAACTTAAAAAAAGGTGGTCATTCCAGAAAGAGGAATTATAATTAGGTATAAGTGCAGATGTTTTTGTTTGTTTATTTATTGTTTTCTTTCAATGTAATAATGTAAATATGTTTATACTGAAAGTAGCCGTAGAATTTGCTTGACACTAGCCTAACCCTAACCTAACCCTGAGGACAAACAGATCCTTTAGTTACACTGTTCATGTTTATATTTCAAAACAGCATAACAATCTATTCAGTTACTACATTTCAACAAAGAGGAGCATCTCAGCTGCTGGGACACAGTCAGTGCAACGCTTATTACACTTACTGAATCAAACTGTAAAAATATATGTAGGAAATGTTCTTTTTCTCTCCTGCAGAGACACGGGGTCTTGATGAACGGGTATCTCAATCAAACCAAACCATATATATTTAATACTTCTGCTATAACAGATGTATTTGGAATTTATCCACACATAATACTGAAAGGCAAAACATTGTGGAAAGCGAAAACTGAGGCCAGTAGTAATAACAATGCTTATGTGCTATGCATAGTTTTCTGAATATAATATTCCCTGTTTCAGCCTCCACTGACCCGACCCAGAACAACACGGTTCGACCATCGCCAGTGACAACACAAGACTCTGATCTACAGGGTAGGTGTGAAAACCCAGCAGACAGGGACGTCAGTCCTTAATTCTCCGTCCATTTAACAGAGTGGAGTATATATACCCGTGGAGATTCTGACTTGAGGTCACAGGATTTCAAACTGCCACTTAAGGAAGGATTTCAAACTGTTAAAAATAATTTAGGGAGTGTTACTCTTTTCCTGCATAGACATGCGGTCTCGATGGAGAATTATCTCAGTTAAATTGAACGATATATATTTAATACTTCTTTCATAAGATATGTATTTAGAATTTAAGCATACATAATACTGAAAGGCGAAGCATTATGTGGAAAGGCGAAAACTGAGCCAGCAGTAGAAATGCTGATGTGCTATGTATAGTTTTCTGAACAACATATTCCCTGTTTCAGCCTCGACAACCGACGTGAGTGATGATCTGACACCGAGCAAGACGGTTCCACCCACGCCAGTGACGACACAAGACTCCCACGGTAGGTGGAAAACCCAGCAGACAAGAAGCTCAGTGGTGTCGATCGACGTTCATGTTGTCAGTCACAGGATTCCTTGAACCAGATTATTATGCTGAGGTCGCCATCAGACAGCTGGAATACTGCTGAGTGTGGCGTCAAACACCAACCAAAACACTGTGACATAAACCAACGTTATATCTTATTACCCTAAAACCAAACAACAGTTGTACTGCGCTACTTGTAAAGTTCAACAAACATCAACACTCTCCAGCCGAACACAAGATATTGCTACAACTTCTGGCTCTAACAGAAAGTTCTGTATTAAACACACCATCGTTTATCCCAGAAACCACATGTTGACATTCCCGCCATGTTGTATTGTTGTCAGCCATGATGGAATTGTTTAAACGATGCAGCAATGTCCGAGTCACGTATCAACATGATGAAGACATTGTAGATGTGTGACACAGATGTCTGATGTTTACTTTGTGTTGCAGCGACTCCATCACCAGCAGCAGGCCGCCGCCTCTACTCCGCCAGCTACAACGGTGACCTGGAGACAGTGAAGCGGATCCTGGCAGCGGGTCACGTGGACGTCAACACGAGAGGAGGCTACAGCAGCACACCGGTGATGGCGGCAGCAGTGAGGGGACACAGCGATGTGGTGGAGTTCCTGGTGGGTAGAGGGGCTGATGTGTCGCTGGTGGACAGTGACGGTAACAACGTCCTTCACTTCGCCTGTTGGGGTGGAGACCTGGAGATCGTGAAGCTGATCCTGTCACAGAACGTGCTGGACATCAACGCCAGGAACAACGACAGGAAGACAGCGGTCGACTGGGCGAGACTCCAGGGACATCAGCGAGTGGCGGACTTCCTGGTGTCACGTGGTGGACACTGAAGTCGGTGTCGGTGTGGACGGTGACGGTGCACATGTCGTTACTGACACTGACGCAGTGTGTGCCGTCCATGTTGTCGTGTGTCACGATTCACGTGATTTCCTTTTTTCTTCCTGAATATAAATAAAACTTGTTGAATGTATTTTCAGACATTTTGTCATTTGTTGTGTTTGGAACCTCGCAGGATCAGGTAAGAAAATTGTGAAGTGAGTGTAAACATGAACGGTGAGTGATTGTACGTAAACGTCACCCGTTTTAACATAATTCTGTGTTAATTTTGTTCTGAGAATATCGCGAATTGTGAAACCGACAACAACAAACTGTTTGTTTACATGTCGCTACACTCTGTGACCTCAGACTGAGCTGACATGGCGCCATTTGTACAGTGACAGTGACGTCACACTGCTGGTGACGTCACAGGTATACACTGAGGTGCCCGGCCGTCTTCTCAGCCAGAGCGGCGCAATGCTGGCTTCATGCCAGACAACACAAAACACAGTGTTAGTCAAATACCATGTGGTCGGTGTCGTTTAACAAAGGAAGAATGGACATATGTAGCTGATTACTGCTGAGATTTAACCCTTTTGGTGCCACAGGGACATGCACCCCTTCTACAGTGACTGTATGTTGTAAATGTAAATATCGGATATTTACCCGTTGAACTGAATTTGAAAAATAGCTAATTACTGATCATTGGCAAGTGTTTGTCAAGTCGCCAATGATTATGCTGGAACCTAGCCTATAACCTTGGAGTAACCTTTAAATCGTCTTGGGGGCAGGCAAACACAAACGCCGGAGTAAGCCTTCCTTTATATTTAATAGTGAGTGAGTTAGCTTAGTTTTACGCCCCTTTTAGCAATATTTCCGCAATATCACGACCGGGGACACCAGAAATGGGCTTCACACATTGTACTCATGTGGGGAATTGAACCCGGGATTTCGGCGTCACGAGCGAACGCTTCAACCACAAAGCTACCCATTCGGCCCTATTTGACAGTGTTTAGAAAATCCTGTTTCACGAGAGGTCTTCATGAAACGCCCATTACATCGCACGTGTTTAACATTCAGTTGCAACACACACATCCCTGAATTCTTCACATATTTAAAAATCAAATGACTGATGGTCTTTGTTACCCGTTCAGATAGTGTTGATAATATTAACCCCCTGGATGCCGTTCAAATAGTGTTGATGATATTAACTCCCTGGATGCCGTTCAAATAGTGTTGATGATATTAACCCCCTGGATGCCGTTCAAATAGTGTTGATGATATTAACCCCCTGGATGCCGTTCAAATAGTGTTGATGATATTAACACCCTGGATGACGTTCAAATAGTGTTGATGATATTAACCCCCTGGATGCCGTTCAAATAGTGTTGATGATATTAACCCCCTGGATGCCGTTCAAATATTGTTGATGATATTAACACCCTGGATGACGTTCAAATAGTGTTGATGATATTAACACCCTGGATGACGGGTTTTGTCTGAAGAGTGAACGTTTGGTGAGAATCGTGCTCACGCAGCCCTACATCTATCTTGGGCGATAAAATTATACAGAAATGTAGAATATTCAATTCAATTTCCAACCCGATGGTATAAATTCAAATACTTACTGTAGATACTGAACCGGCTTGCACAAATAAACCCTACTAAGTGCTGTCTAAAGTTTATGTTCATTTTCCTTAATAACTATCCCAAAGTGGATGGTTGGAAAGATGGTCGTCTCAGGACCTTCGGGTGTGCTTCTTTTGTACTTATATAAAACTGCAGTGATGTTATTGAAAAAAAAAAAATATCATGTATATAACGTCTGCGACCTTTCGGCGACACGGGGTTTTCTATAAAATTCTCTAACATCTGGATATATGTTCAGAAATAAACAATGGAGAAATTATTGTCTAGATATATGCTATTAGGTTTTGTACAGTTTTTTTCAAATATACACATCGTTAAGTGTTCGCCATAACATCACTGTTTCGCTCGCAGTACCTTTCGACGATTTGCCTTCACGCTCCTGTGCGTCAAAAACGTGAAAGTTCAAAAGCGGCAACGTCGAAATAAACACTTAGCTAATAATTCAATAATGTCGATAGATATTGTGGGAGCTAACAGACAAGACTAATGTGCCACCAAGAACACGTTTAAATACTTAAAACATTTGCTTCTTCGATCAAAATAACATTGTAAAAATCTGTAAATACATTGAATTCACGTTTCACAAGAAGGCCCGTTCACGTTTTGTGTCAAATCGGATCCCGTTTGCTACAGTTTTCGCGCACTACATGAGGCGACTTGGCAGCACAAAGCTATGGGAAATGTTTGGTTGAAAACATCAGCATGTACCATTGTATCAAAGGCGATGCATGTCACATGACACAATCTATTTCAAGATTTCGCAACTGGAAGAAACTGTTTGCTTGTAACTTGATCGCGATTGTGAGGTCTCGTATCATGTTGTTTCTTAGCCGAGAGCCGCGATGTGGTCCTATACAGGCAAGACATGACCCTGCATCGCGGCCGAGAACACCACCTTCATTAATCCTATTCAGATTCTAGTGGCCGATTACGCCTCGTATTTTCTTGAGATTTTTAAAATATATTTCCTGTGGGTTTTTGACTGAAAAGTCGATATCGATGTACTCCCAGATAATTTCCCTATACATACATGTAACTGTCATATTTTTGTGATCATACATTTAGATATTAATGGGCCTGAAACCCGTTGAGGTCTTGTTTCAACGATAGCGAGCTGACATGTTGACATGTTGCGCATGCGCCAAATTTCTATTGTCCGGACATAGTGAGAACATTCTTCATTAGCGGTACGCAATACTCACTCTCGACTCCCGTTTCGCGCGCTCGTACTTTGGGTGAATCACACTTATGTATATTATATTTATCTGTATTTATGTCATAATTTACAGATTTTCCTCGCAGAGAGGATTACATTCATATCTCTACAAAAAGATGTGTCCATGGGATCTAGTAGATTTATTAATATACAACGCAGTGCACAGAAGACTAACCCCATGGATACCAAGGTTTATTTTCTCTTAAGTTGTGAAAAATGAACGTTGAGCGACAATTGCGTTAGTGATGCACTGCTTCTAGCTACGGCTATAACACAGATATGTAAAGTATTTAATTTCCTATCCGGTGATGTAAATTTGAAGCACCAATACACAGGTGGTTTGGAAAGTAGACTTTGTTAAAGGTTGTCCGCAATTTTGCTATGCGTTGAACAGCAGTAAATGTCTTCGTTTACAGCGCGACGATTTCTTTATTTGGCATCTTTAATGAAACTTTGTGCGCATAAAATACTGCGTGATCTCTGAACGACATAAAAACATATGACATGGATTTTTGTATGCTTATGTATAACTTTCTACGTTCAATGTGAAAAATGGCTTGACGAAAGTTGATTCTCCTATGACGTGAAGCGACGACAGAGAGGACACACACACACACAAACACAAACACACACACATATATACACGATGATCCAATCTTTTTCAATACAAAAATCCACATTGTAACCGGATAAGTTTTGTTATTATCACAAATTATAAAGAATTAGGAAATCGCACATGAGAAACGAGGTAATAGCTAAATGGATGGTCCTATCTACATAGAAATTAGTTGTTAGATTCCCAAACTCTCTTGATTATGTAGATGTATTTTGACATACGTTGCATCCTTATTAACAGGGATCGAGCCTCAAATGTAATGAAATTTCTGAAAATACGACACCACAATAGTTGCATGTTGTAAATTTTTTGGCAACGCCGGAGAAAGATGACATCTGTATATTGTTTAGTATATATCTCACCTAATTTCCGTTCAAGGTATAGAAATCTCGGTTTATCATAGTATCAAATGTTTTTAGCTATCATTAGATCTTATATTCGTAATCTGATGGAGAAGAAGTGAGTGAGTATTGCTTTACGCTACTTTTAGCAATATTCCAGCAATATCACGGCGGGGGACACCAGAAATGGGTTTCCCACATTGTGGCAGAATAAGTTGGACATGTGCACTGAAGTAGGTATCAATAAATTACATTCAATAAAACCAACTATCGGTTGACGAGGTTATTATGCGAAGATGTCGTATTGGCCACACAAGATATACGCATTAATATTTACTAAAAGGTGAGGATCCTCCGCTTAGTGTCCCTCGTGATGAAAGAATCGCAGCCAAACATGACCTGCTTGACTGTTTATTTTTCCATCACAAAGGATAAATATTTCAGTGCCAAAACAGTTAAAGATCTCTTTTATAATGTTAACTGTCATTTATTTATTGATGTTATAAAAGAAATTGACCTGATTGATAAAGTTTGATTGATCTGTTTTGTAGATACATGTATATGCATTTTTTATATAGTCGACGTCTCGTCCGTCCGTCCGAAATCATTTTGTTTCCGGAGCATAACTCAAAAACCGTTCAATATTTTTCAACCCAAATTGGTAGGTATATTAAACAGAACCTAAAGTGGTGCCCTTTGCTACTTACAATTTTTTGTCATTTTTATGTTTCGCGGTTTCCATGGAAACGATTCGAACTTTGTCTCAAAAGGAGGGGTGCGCTTCGTTTCCTGAACACAACTCGAAAACCGTCCAATATCTTTCAACAGAACTTATTAGATATATGAGACATACCCGAAAGTGGTTCCTTTTTCTATTTGCGGATTTTGGACATTCATATTTTTCCCGGTTTCCATGTAAACGATTCTGACTTAGTCTAAAAGAAAATCAAGTTGGACTTTAATTAGCTGTCAAATGATCTTCTTCTTGTTGAAAAATATTGAACGGTTTTTTAATTAAGACTCTGGAAACAAAATTACATGCCTTGGGTTGGGTTGGGAGTGATAAATGAATTGTTTTAGTCACGATATGGCTAAAATATTGCCCGTGTGACTATAATCTTTACTCACTCACTCACCATTTGAATAATGTCCTGGATAGATAAACGATTGGATAGTTTACCATGTATCTTACTGTGTACAACGCGCGCACTTGTTTCGCTTCGGTTTCGCGAAAATCAAAGAAAATATTTCAAAATATAATATTTATGTTCCAATATTATGACCGGGTCGGGTCTCTGATTGTTCATTATCATGTGGCTACTCTCTTCATTATCATGTGGCTACTCTCTTCATTATCATGTGGCTACTCTCTTCATTATCATGTGGCTACTCTCTTCATTATCATATGGCTACTCTCTTCATTATCATGTGGCTACTCTCTTCATTATCATATGGCTACTCTCTTCATTATCATGTGGCTACTCTCTTCATTATCATGTGGCTACTCTCTTCATTATCATGTGGCTACTCTCTTCATAATTATACGAAGAAAGGTGAACTCATAAATACTCCTTTGGTACGGAACTATCAGAGGGATGCTTGCGATTGGGCAAAATGAGGACATGTCATGTTTTTTTATTTTTTGGTACAGTTCTTGCAGAAATAAAGTGAACAGTTTAATATCATGTCATGGGATTATTGGCAATATATAGTGATTACGCCGTGTATATTATAAAAAAACAAAACGAGTATATCGTTAAACGTTTGTGACAAGCGCGCACCTAGTGAATCATTAAACACCATTGTCAATAAAAAGATATAATATATTTCATAACCATGATAATTCCTTTTAAATATGTATGTATATACATTTAAACATATATTAATAACTTTCCTAAAGTAAAACATTCTGTTGTACTAATATATACTTTAAATTATATTCCTTTGAGAACATACAGATCTTATCAAATCTATAAAACAATATATGGAAAGAATCTGTATCATTTGATAGCATATTGGAAGAACCATTCTATCCATGTAACCTCAGAACTTTATACATGGAGGGAAAAGTATGCAGATTAATCTATGCTGTTGTGTAATAGATATTGCCTTAAAGGGAAAAAATAGTCAATAACAATGGCAAACTGATATCTATACTGAAATATCGAAATATAATTGGATGGAAAACTATTTACCGTTAAGAACAAACGAATAAGACAAAGTTAAGATAATTCCAACACCATATTATTCATAGACAACAGATAAAAACATGTTCATACATAAAATTGTAGCATATTTTCTGTATTCTTTGTGCTGCAACTGAAAATATCATTCGTTTGTTATTTGAATGTACACAGGTAAAACTATTGAGACACAACCTTATAAAATAGACAGAAAATAAATCCGGTACTAAACTAAAAGTAGAATAGAATCACATCATTTTTTTGATTTAAAGAAAAAAAATGTAATCACGTCTGAATTGCATATACCTTGCAACAAACATTACGTATACACAAAAAATTATCTCCATAATAGTACCTTTGCACCACGTTGTATATTAATAAATCTGCTTGATTTCATGGACACATCTTTTTGTAGAGATATGAATGGAATCCTCTCTGCAAGGAAAATCTGTAAATTATGACATAAAAGCAGATAAATTTAACATACATTAAGTGTGATTCACCCAAAGTACGAGCGCGCGAAACGGAAGGCAAGAGTGAGTATTGCGTACCGCTAATGAAGAATGTCCTCCGATACTGACTATAGAAATTTGTCGCATGCACACAACATGTCAACATGTCAGCTCGTTATCGTTAAAACAAGACCTCAACGGGTTTCAGGCCCATTAATATCTAAATATATGATCACAAAAATATGACAGTTACATGTATGTAAAGGAAAATTATCTGGGAGTATCAGTCAAAAACCCACAGGAAATACGAGGGGTAATCGGCCACTAGAATCTGAATAGGATTAATGAAGGTGGTGTTCTCGGCCGCGATGCAGGGTCATGTCTTGCCTGTATAGGACCACATCGCGGCTCTCGGCTAAGAAACAACATGACACGAGACCTCACAATCGCGATCAAGTTACAAGCAAACACATCTTATATATCACCAGTAGACCTTAGGGCAACACATCTTATATATCACCAGTAGACCTTAGGGCAACACATCATATATATCACCAGTAGACCTTAGGGCAACACATCATATATATCACCAGTAGACCTTAGGGCAACACATCATATATATCACCAGTAGACCTTAGGGCAACACATCATATATATCACCAGTAGACCTTAGGGCAACACATCATATATATCACCAGTAGACCTTAGGGACCATATATATCACCAGTAGACCAACACATCATATATATCACCAGTAGACCTTAGGGCAACACATCTTATACATCACCAGTAGACCTGTCGGCAACACATCATATATATCACCAGTACACCTTGTGGAACACATCATATATATCACCAGTAGACCTGTGTGCAACACATCTTATATATCACCAGTAGACCTTAGGACAACACGTCATACAATCAGTAGACCTGTGGTCAACACATCTTATATATCACCAGTAGACCTTAGGGCAACACATCATATATATCACCAGTAGACCTTAGGGCAACACATCATATATATCACCAGTAGACCTTAGGGCAACACATCATATATATCACCAGTAGACCTTAGGGCAACACATCATATATATCACCAGTAGACCTTAGGGCAACACATCATATATATCACCAGTAGACCTTAGGGCAACACATCTTATACATCACCAGTAGACCTGTCGGCAACACATCATATATATCACCAGTACACCTTGTGGAACACATCATATATATCACCAGTAGACCTGTGTGCAACACATCTTATATATCACCAGTAGACCTTAAGACAACACGTCATACAATCAGTAGACCTGTGGTCAACACATCTTATATATCACCAGTAGACCTTAGGGCAATACATCTTATATATCACCAGGAGACCTTAGGGCAACACATCTTATATATTATCAGTAGACCTTAGGGCAACGCATATTATATATCACCAGTAGACCATAGGGCAAAACATCTTATATATTATCAGTAGACCTTAGGGCAACACATATTATATATCACCAGTAGACCTTAGGACAATTCATTTTATATATGGAGAGATGCATGGCGCAATGGATGAAAAGATGGAGGGATGGGATGGTATGGAGAGATACATGGAGCAATGGATGGAAAGATGGAGGGATGGGATGGAATGGAGAGATATATGGCGCAATGGATGGAAAGATGGAGGGATGGATGGAGGCAACCAGGCGACTTAAGATGTCCATCGGTTCCAGGGAAGAGTGTTGCTAAGGATGAAACGTATCTTCAGGGGCGTATCTGAGCCAATTATTATGTGTAGGCAAAAGGTTTAGAATGCAATTTTTATACGTACATATCCATGCTTTCAGCATGTTGAAATATATTCACCTGTAACATTTTTCTTTCAAATTTATCATTTCCCTTTTTTAATATTTTATTGTACAAAATTATGTGTAGGCAACTGCCTTTTTGCCTGTATAGCAGCTACGCCCCTGATCTTGAAAATGAGCTAATGAAAACTTTATTGTGTTCCCAATGACATGTAAAAATCATTCTTTGAAAATGTTTATGACACGTTTTCAGTTCAGTGTAAGGGAGGAGGGATGGGTGATAGAATGAATGGATGGAATGGTGGAAAGATGGAGTGAGGAATAGAGGGGAGCGATGGAGGGATGGACAAATGGAGGAATGGAGGGAGGTGTCACATTCAGAACAAAAGATTAGGTTCCAAACGTTTATTGAACCAACCCCCAAATACACACTACACAACACGCTGTCATACACGCTGCCATACACGCTGCCATACACGCATGTCATACACACTGTCCTTCACGCTGACATACACGCTGTCATACACGTTGTCATACACGCTGTCATACACGCTGTCATACACGCTGTCATTCACGCTGTCATTCACGCTGACATACACGCTGTCATACACGCTGTCATACACGTTGTCATACACGCTGTCATACACGCTGACATACACGCTGACATACACGCTGTCATACACGTTGTCATACACGCTGACATACACGCTGTCATACACGCTGTCATACACGCTGTCATACACGCTGTCATACACGCTGTCATTCACGCCGACATACACGCTGTCATACACGCTGTCATACACGCTGACATACACGCTGACATACACGTTGTCATACACGCTGTCATACACGCTGTCATTCACGTTGTCATACAAGCTGTCATTCACGCTGACATACACGCTGTCATACACGCTGTCATACACGCTGTCATACACGCTGTCATATATGCTGTCATACACGCTGCCATACACACTGTCATACACGCTGCCATACACGCTGTCATACACGCTGTCATACACGCTGTCATACACGCTGTCATACACGCTGCATACACGCCGTCATATATGCTGTCATACACGCTGCCATACACGCTGTCATACATCGCCGCCATACACGCTGTCATACACGCTGTAATACACGCTGTCATACTGCGTTGTCATACCTGCGCTGTCATACGCGCTGTCATACACGCTGCCATACATGCTGTCATACACGCGTTGTCATACAAGCTGTAATACACGCTGCCATACTGCGCTGTCATACACGCTGTCATACACGCTGTAATACTGCGGCGTGTACACATGCTGTCATACATGCTGTAATACACGCTGTCATACACGCTGTCATACACGCTGTCATACATGCTGTCATACACGCTGTCATACACGCTGTCATACATGCTGTCATACACGCTGTAATACATGCTGTCATACACGCTGCCATACACGCTGTCATACACGCTGTCATACATGCGTCATACATGCTGTCATACGCGCTGTCATACACGCCAATACACGCTGTCATACACGCTGCCATACATGCTGTCATACACGCTGCCATACACGCTGCCATACACGCTGCCATACATGCTGTCATACATGCTGTCATACACGCTGTAATACATGCTGTCATACACGCTGTAATACATGCTGTCATACACGCTGCCATACACGCTGTCATACACGCTGTCATACACGCTGTAATACATGCTGCCATACACGCTGTCATACACGCTGTCATACACGCTGCCATACATGCTGCCATACACGCTGTCATACATGCTGTCATACATGCTGTCAGACATGCTGTAATACACGCTGCCATACTGCGGCTGCCATACACTGCGCTGTCATACACGCTGCCATACACGCTGTCATACACGCTGCCATACACGCTGCCATACACGCTGTCATACATGCTGTAATACACGCTGCCATACACGCTGTCATACACGCTGCCATACACGCTGTCATACATGCTGTCATACATGCTGTAATACACGCTGTCATACACGCTGCCATACACGCTGTCATACACGCTGCCATACTGCGCTGCCATGCACGCCTGCCATACATCGCTGCCATACACGCTGTCATACTGCGCTGTCATACACGCGCTGTCATACACGCCACACAACACGCTGCCATACGCGCTGTCATACACGCTGTCATACATGCTGTCATACATGCTGCCATACAAGCTGTCATACACGCTGCCATACACGCTGTTATACACGCTGCCATACACGCTGTCATACACGCTGTCATACACGCTGTCATACACGCTGCCATACATGCTGTCATACACGCTGTGATACAGGCTGCCATACATGCTGTCATACACGCTGTCATACACGCTGTCATACACACTACACAACACGCTGCCATACACGCTGTCATACACGTTGTCATACACGCTGTCATACACGCTGTCATTCACGCTGACATACACGCTGTCATACACGCTGACATACACGCTGACATACACGCTGTCATACACGTTGTCATACACGCTGTCATACACGCTGTCATTCACGTTGTCATACACGCTGTCATTCACGCTGACATACACGCTGACACACGCTGTCGTACACGCTGTCATACACGCTGTCATACACGCTGTCATACACGCTGTCATACACGCTACACAACACGCTGCCATACGCGCTGTCATACACGCTGTCATACATGCTGTCATACACGCTGCCATACACGTTGTCATACACGCTGTCATACATCGCTTACACAACACGCGCTGCCATCACGCTGCTGTCGCTGTCATAAACTATCGCTGTCATACACGCTGCCATACACGCTGTCATACACGCTGCCATACACGCTGTCATACACGCTGCCATACACGCTGTCATACACCCTGTCATACACCCTGTCATACACGCTGTCATACACGCTGTCATACACGCTGTCATACACACTACACAACACGCTGCCATACCGCCTACGCTGTCATACACGCTGTCATACACGCTGTCATACATGCTGTCATACACACATTCATTCCATACAAAACAGTGACATATGTCTCAACTTTTCAGTCCTCACCCAGATATACTCAAACTATGATACACACTTACACTAAACGCAAAAAGAAACGTTACCCTCCTACCTTTATGAATTACTTAAAAACGATCAAAGATGTGTTCGAAGAAAGCTTAACAACACAGCTTTATGCAAATCACGAAAAGAAATTCCCAAATGCATTAATATATAGGTGAAATGCATCTTTTTCAGAAGAGTTAAATTGTCCTATTTTCGACCATGCCGAAATACACAAATAACAGTGACTTAGATGTCAAAAAGAAGGGTTCAAATAAAATTCTGCTTTAAGACAGAAATAAACCATTTAAAGTCACCATCTTTCAACTGTTAACACAAGAAACAACTGTTGTAGAGTGTGTAGAATTGTGAAAGAATCATTGCTATGATTTCAGTCTTTTAAAACATTTTCTGCTGATTTGCATTGGTAAAACAAGTAAAACGTGTCTTTGTTATACTGAAACATTGTTAAGGAACATCTAAAATTATCTTTGATAACATTTTTGCTTGCAAGGAACACCTTTTTCCATTTTCTGTTTACACATAGCAATATCATTGGCCAAAGCGAGGCAATATTCAAGCAGTGTTTGTATCGAATGATTCTATAGGGTATAAAGTGATACTAGAATGCATGATATGATATACAATTACGAAAATATGCCACGATTAGCAGCTGAAGAAAGATAAAGAGCCATTGTAATGATGGGGTCGACATCCAATGCTGTTGTCAACGTTCTCGAAAACCACCTTATCACGGTTATAAGACTTATTCAAGGCTTCAGACAGACTGGGGTCACCGTAGACAGACCAAGAAGTGGACGTCCACGAATCACAACACCACAACCTCCGTCACTAAGGAAGGAGGGTAACGTTTCTTTTGGAGTTTAGTATATTCACCTGCACACATCCCCTCCATCACTTATCTAAACACTCATCGACACTGTTGTACAATTACAACTGATATAAAGTGCATGTACATGTACATAGTGTTACATTTAAATGATGGTTACTATGGCAACATGGTAACAGTGTCCGTGTTTGGCATCAATCCTTGACCTCTGTCAGTACGAACCCACAGTTCGTATACACCATCCCAGGCTCCTGACGTCAGCAGTCCTCCTCCGTCAGCCAAGCGTGTTCGGGCGACCGTCCTCGCGTCAGCCAGGCGTGTTCGAAACAAACTTAAGTTTTACCAAATTTCAAACTGAGTTTGTTCTGAAACAGCTAAGAACACTGCATTTTTAAATAAAAAGAACAACTTAGGTAATCTATGAAATCAAAGTCATGGAGTTTAATAGGGATTTCAGTTTATTTTGGAAAATGCATGGTTTTCTCAAATTTGGAAGGATGGACTTAAGTTTGGAGGGTGACATGAGGATGGGAGAGGGATGGACGGAGGGATGGAGGGATGGATGCGTGACTTCATGCCAGCTCAATCTCTAAAATATTTTACAACATGAATACTTCTTTGAGAGGCATTTTAGAAGTTGTGAAGATGCAGGAAAACTAAGTTCTATGGATAGTCAACTTCTTGATATCACTTGCTTGATAACGGTGCTAGTACCAACACCGAATCGTCGCACTCATTGTAATAAAGAAGTTGACTATCCATAGAACTTAGGTTTCCCTCCTGTACATGAATAGTTGTCAATAGACTCCAGATCACAAATTATATTTTTTTAGGACTCCATATTTATTTGATTTGTTGCCTAACACTTTCCTCATACAATCTGAATTCACAAGCAAGCAAAACAAATCATGTTGCAGATCAACCTTGCTTGACATGAACATACGAATGGCTGTCCAACACTTCACTGATGGTTCAAGCATTTGGAGATGGCTCCAGCTCGTCAGAGATTGGAGATGGCTTCAGATGGTCAGAGAATGGATTGGAGATGGCTTCAGATGGTCAGAGATTGGAGATGGCTTCAGATGGTCAGAGATTGGATATGACTTCAGATGGTCAGAGATTGGAGATGGCTTCAGATTGTCAGAGATTGGATATGACTTCAGATGGTCAAAGATTGGAGATGGCTTCAGATTGTCAGAGATTGGAGATGGCTTCAGATGGTCAGAGATTGGAGATGGCTTCAGATGGTCAGAGATTGGAGATGGCTTCAGATGGTCAGAGATTGGAGATGGCTTCAGATGGTCAGAGATTGGAGATGGCTTCAGATGTTCAGAGATTGGAGATGGCTTCAGATCGTCAGAGTTTTGGGTTGGCTTCAGATGGTCAGAGTTGGCTGCCAGTCAACTCACCTGATGCATCCTTTGCGTCTTAATTAATTGTCCAGATCATCACCTATGTGAATGGCATTCGTTGTGTCTTAACAGAATTTGAAATACCTGAATGCCTGTGTTGGCTATGTCTGGAATCTCTGGAACATTGGATATGTCTGGAGGGTTGGCTATGTCTGGAATCTCTGGAACATTGGATATGTCTGGAGGGTTGGCTATGTCTGGAATCTCTGGAACATTGGATATGTCTGGAGGGTTGGCTATGTCTGGGCTATGTCTGGAGTGTTGCCTATGTCTGAAGTGTTGGCTGGAATGTCTGAAGTGCGTTGATATGTCTGGAGGGTTGGCTATGTCTGAAGTGTTGGCTATGTCTGAGGCGTTGGTTATGTCTGGAATGTTCCCTATGTCTGGAGTGTAGGCTATGTCTGGAGTTGCTATGTCTGGTTATGTATGTCTGGAGTGTTGGTTGTATATAATAATAAAAATAAGTGTTCTTCTATGGCACAAATCAAACTGCAAGGCAATTTCTCTAGATAGCCTTAAAATCTGGGCGCTATATCTGGAGAGTAGGCTATGTCTGGAGCGTTGGTCTATGTCTGGAAGCTCTTGGATATGTCTGGAGTGTTGCCTATGTCTGAATCTCTGGAACATTGATATGTCTGGAGTGTTGCCTATGTCTGGAACATTGGATATGTCTGGAGTGTTGGCTATGTCTGGATGTCTCTGGAACATGGAGTGTTGGTTATGTCTGGAGTGTTACCTATGTCTGGAATGTTGGAATGTCTGGAGTGTTACCTATATCTGGAGTGTTGGTTATGTCTGGGCGTCTGGTTATGTCTGTCTGGAGTTGGCTATGTTGGTTATGTCTGGGACCTATGTCTGGAGTGTTGGCTATGTCTGGAGTGTTGGCTATGTCTGAGTGTTACCTATGTCTGGAGGTGTTGGTTATGTCTGGAGTGTTACCTATGTCTGGAGTGTTGGCTCTGGAATGTCTGGAGTGTTGGCTTTGTCTGGAGTGTTACCTATGTCTGGAGCATTCGCTTTGTCTGGAGTGTAACCTATGTCTGGAGAGTTACCTATGTCTGGAGTGTTGCCTATGTCTGGAGTGTTGCCTATGTCTGGAGTGTTACATATGTCTGGAGTGTTACCTATGTCTGGAGAGTTGGCTATGTCTGGAGTGTTGGCTATGTCTGGAGAGTTGGCTATGTCTGGAGTGTTACCTATGTCTGGAGCGTTGGAGCGTTGCCTATGTCTGGAGTGTTGGCTATGTCTGGAGCGTTGGAGTGTTGCCTATGTCTGGAGTGTTGGCTATGTCTGGAGTGTTGGCTATGTCCGGAGTGTTACCTATGTCTGGAGTGTTACCTATGTCTGGAGTGTTACCTATGTCTGAAGCATTGGCTATGTCTGGAGCGTTGCCTATGTCTGGAGTGTTACCTATGTCTGGAGTGTTGCCTATGTCTGGAGTGTTGCTTATGTCTGGAGTGTAACCTATGTCTGGAGTGTTACCTATGTCTGGAGTGTTGGCTTTGTCTGGAGCGTTGCCTATGTCTGGAGTGTTGGAGTGTTGCCTATGTCTGGAGTGTTGGCTATGTCTGGAGTGTTGGTTATGTCTGGAGAGTTACCTATGTCTGGAGTGTTGGCTGAGTCCGGAGTGTTCCCTATGTCTGGAGTGTTCCCTATGTCTGGAGTGTTCCCTATGTCTGGAGTGTTGACTATGTCTGGAGTGTTGCCTATGTCTGGAGTGTTGACTATGTCTGGAGTGTTGCCTATGTCTGGAGCGTTGCCTATGTCTGGAGTGTTGACTATGTCTGGAGTGTTGCTTATGTCTGGAGCGTAACCTATGTCTGGAGTGTTACCTATGTCTGGAGTGTTGGCTTTGTCTGGAGCGTTGCCTATGTCTGGAGTGTTGGAGTGTTGCCTATGTCTGGAGTGTTGGCTATGTATGGAGTGTTGGTTATGTCTGGAGAGTTGCCTATATCTGGAGTGTTCGTTATGTCTGGAGTGTTACCTATGTCTGGAGCGTTGCCTATGTCTGGAGAGTTGGCTATGTCTGGAGTGTTGGCTATGCATGGAGTGTTGGTTATGTCTGGAGCGTTGCCTATATCTGGAGTGTTGCCTATGTCTGGAGTGTTACCTATGTCTGGAGCGTTGCCTATGTCTGGAGTGTTGGCTATGTCTGGAGTGTTGCCTATATCTTGAGTGTTGCCTATGTCTTGAGTGTTGCCTATGTCTGGAGTGTTACCTATGTCTGGAGTGTTACCTATGTCTGGAGTGTTGGCTATGTCTGGAGTGTAACCTATGTCTGGAGCGTTGCCTATGTCTGGAGTGTTGCCTATGTCTGGAGTGTTACCTATGTCTGGAGTGTTGGCTTATGTCTGGAGTGTTACCTATGTCTGGAGTGTTACCTATGTCTGGAGTGTTGGCTATGTCTGGAGTGTAACCT